TTTCTTCCAAGCAGTTATATTAAATTTATAACATCCTCATTAATCTGCATTCTATAATGTACTATAAAGTATAGTAAGTACTATTACTTCCCCCTTGGCCCCAGGAGATACGTTCCAAGGCCCTCAGTGGATGCCAGGATCATACCGAACCCTATTTATACTGTTTTTTCCTATCTATATGAATGTACATGTGATAAAGTAAGATATTAACAATAACTAATAATAATATTGAAAAATTGTAACAACAGATTATAACAAAAGTTATGTGAACATGGTCTATCAAAATATCCATTGTACTGTACTCACCCTTCTTGTGATGATGTGAGAAGATAAAATGCCTACATGCTGAGATGAGTGAGGGAAATGATGTAGGCGTTGCACGACGTAGAGTTAGGCTACTTATTGACCTTCTTATGATTTGTCAGAAAAGGGATCATCTACTTCAGAACTGCCTTTGACCATGCAACTGAAACTGCGGAAGGCGAAACCACAGCTAGATAAGGGGAGACTTACTGTGCATATATTCTATGTGTAATCAGCATGATTTACATAATTCTTGGCTCACGTTGGAAGTCTGGGAGGTTCAATAAAAATACCTGTCTGCTCTAAACGGAAGTATGCACTGCAGTGGATGACTCCTGACAGTGGGGGGAGCCTGGACAGTAGTACACCCTAACTAGATAGGCAGTTACGTATACCCATTTGATCTCCCCAACCAAAGCAGTCAGTATCTCTGGGGGGGGGGGGAGAGACACTTTTTGGAAGGAGCATATAGAGTTTGGATTAAAATTTATGTCAGTCAGAAGTATCATTTTTGGACCCAACCAGCAGAGGTAAACTTGGCCCTACCTCAAGTTTGCATATCTGGATCAACTAAAATTTAACAATCATATTAGGACTATGTGAAAACAAATACAAGATAAACCATGGTGTTGAAAATTAAAAAATTGGGGTTAAACAGTTTATACGTTCTAAATGGTGGTCACTAGACTGCTGTGGGGAGAAGTCCCATGACCACCACCTTCAAAGTTTTGCTGTTGTAAGCCAGGTGTCATTATTTTACTGGTCCTGTGCTATTGCCACAATAGGCGAAAAGCAGCTTTCCTATTTCATTTTGCATTGGATGATAGGAACCACTTAGAATTTTGTAAGTCCTCTGTAGTCAGTAAAACAAAGGGTAGACCATGGCAAGAAAGCCTTGGAAAATTACTACCTCTGGGCCGAGGCTCTGGGTCATTTGTCATGTGACTAACCATCCATCCAGGAACGAATGAGCTTGATTGTATTAGTGTTCTTCCCAAAGCCTTGCTGTTTATTTCCGAAGGTAATTTATAACAGCTCAACAAGGGAAGGCGTGAAATGGGCTGCAAAAGTCATAAATCTATTCTGTCTCCCCACCCCCTTCAGAAATTATGCACACTTGATACTTGGAAGGACTGTACTAGAGATCCATATTTATGGTTCTTGGTGCCCCAAATAGGCAAATCTGTAATTGAATAACATCATGAGCAATTATTAGTTATAAACAAGGATGTCCGTTCACTTCTCACCCTAGGGGCCTGCCCAAGTAGCTGTACTGAAGCAACATCTTGTGCTCCTTCTGCCCAGTCCGCTGATCAAGAGGAACTCCACTGTGGGGAATTCTGGAAGGGGGAGGGAATACCTCGCCAGCATTACCATCTGATTATTAGCTCATAGTACCATAACAAAAAAGGGAAGAACTTGGTTGAATAACCTTTTTGACAAATGTATGTCTCTTGACGTTCTGAATCTTTTTGTTCATGCCTTACATGAAGAGTAAGTGAATTATTAAGGCTTGGCCGAGAAAGGAAAGTCTCCCCATAAATAACTGGTCAAAATTCTCTAAAATAATAGTCATATACTTTTATTAGTCAAACGCACATAAAAAAATCAAAATTTTCAAACTACAGGAAAATTCTTCAATTGTCTCTTTCCTCTCCTTAACATAGTTCTATTACTTCACAGAAAATGTTCTCTTATCTCTCCAGGATGAACATCTTTAACAAACAGTAAAGTAGGAAGGGAACAAGATCTGAAGAACAAAGATCACAAGTGGATGTTATAAAAATTCTTCCCCACCTTTAGTTTTCTTTCAAGTTCTTCTACTGTAAAAGTTTAAACACCTGACTCATTAATACTACCTATATTTCTACCCTTGTACCTTACCATCTATATATTCCCTACATGATCCAAAAGTTTCAGAAACAATTCTAGACTCCAAGTCATTCTTTTCCACATTACAAGTAATTTTTCTATTTCCTATCTCTTCCCAAGTCCTTGGGGAGTGTTGACTCTCCTTGACATTGTTGACTTTCCCGTTTAGACATTGTTTATTGAACTGTCTATGAAGCTACATTGCCATATATTAATAATGTTTTAGGGATTTAGAGATTCAGTAGATGGAAAAACATGTTGGTAAGTTTAAGTTTGAGAGTACTTTAGAGTGTTTTTAAAATCCCTGGCCAGATCAGCACGTTTTTCAGGAGTAACAAGATACAGATCACTTCTTTGTTACTGTTATCTTGACTTTGTGGAAGTAGATTCAAAGCAGGACAATTAACAACTAACAAAAAATAAGTAAAAGAATTGTTTTCAATATTGTACGACTTGTGAAAACAAATAAACAAATCCTGGGCAAATACAAGGTGGTCAGAGGATATGAAGATAGCTAGAACCTTGCTAGTTTGCTAAGGCTGAAGATCTCTAATTCTCAGGAAAATATCTAGAAAGATTTTAAGGTCTCTACTCATTTTTTAAAATTAAAATTCTCAAAAAATATTAAAATTCTTCCTGGAGAGGCAGAGGCATATGGCAGCCAACAGACATGCTACCTAGGGAAGGGGCCAGTATGTTGGGACTGCAGTAGGGAAAACTGTGAGATGGACACGGAGGTTACCAGAAAGGAAAGGCGTTCTCAAATATTTCCAATAAGAAAGCCCTACTCCCAGAGGAGCCCTACCTCCAGGAATCTTGTCCTGGAGTCCTGGGGACTGAGAAATGGAGAAATGCTCAGCTAATATGTCTCCTGTGGTAACCCTCTGGCTGGGTTGCTTACACCCTCCCTCTCAGGGTTCCTGAGAAAAGACAGAGAAGGACTGATGATATGTTTATTCCTGGAGTCTTGGTGGCATTTGAGTTGTAGCACAGACATTTCTTTGCAGTCTTAGTTTTATTATTTTTATTTTTTAAAATCAAATTTTGTATTTAAGTATAATCTTCATTGCAAAAAAAATTAATCACTTACCAGTAAACTTACTTAGCTTTGCTTCCCAAGCTTCAAGACAAACTGATACTCCACCAAGTTGTGTCAAGAAATCCCATGATTTTGAATTCTCCTTGACATTGTGAACCCCCAGAGGTGTAACTCTAACTAGTAAATGTGAAATTTGGACACCAGGAAAAACATCATCTTATACCAGTATGTATGAGAGACAACTGTTGTGGCTGTTCAGGAAAAGGCAAAATATTTGGAAAGACTGTAAGACTCAGATATGAAAAGAATTATTCAAACTGCTGCCAGTGATAGAAGCTGTATGATACAGCCTTTTTTTTTTTTTGCCTTTTTTTTTAAATGAGGAAACAAGTCATTTTTAAAACAAGTATATAGCTTTTTTTTTAATATAAATGGAAAGTACATATATAGTAATACTGGAAATAAACATCTTCAACTCTGGGCTCTTTTCAAAAGACACAAGATTATTTAACAGGTACAAGATGCACAGATAAATCACATCACACCTTATAATGCTAAATAGCAGACAACTTAAATTCATAATGAACAATGACTGTTTTTCAGTAGCTCGAAATTCTGGTCATTAACTCCATAATTCTTATGAGTAGAAAAAGAAAAAGCTAATCATGTACCTTAATATTGTCATTTCTGTATTACTCAAAAATATAAACAACCATGAAGAAATAATGGAGTCTCATGTTTATCACAAGTATAAATACCAAGTTATCAGGCATAACTAATGTATGAAACCTGTATTTTAGAATGTTTCACAAACACAGCTCCAACATTTCTCTTTGGTTCAGAAAATGTAAGAGGTAGGTTCAAATAAAGTGTGTCCATCATGTCACTGGACTTGCACTAAAATGTTGGCAATTTATAACAGAAATCACTAGAAATCAAACGTGTTTGGGAACTAAAAAAGCTACAGAATAACTCAACTAATAAACATCTAAGCCCTAATTACACAAATCAAAACAAGATGGTTGACGACAAAAATGTTTTAGTAAAATAAAAATATGCTATCAATATTATAAATTTCCTATATCATAGCATGTTCCCAAAACTTGGAGCAAGGGAGACCATGAACATGTTCATGAGCATATAAGTATATGCTTATAACTTGGACCTTTCATTTGAACGTAGGTACCTAATACATAATATCAACACATACTACTATTGAAATGCACTAACCTCCTAGGTGTGTGCTGCCCAAATTGAGAACTGCAGGTTCAAACAAATTCAACAGTGGGGGGCAATGAAAATGTCATCCACCCATGATCAACCTACTTCATGTAATTAAGAAATGTCAGATTACCAAGTATGCTCCCTAGGAGCCTTCCTGATTAAAACAGAATCTGATTCAAGGAGGAAACAAAGGACAAAGTAAAGAAGCTCTGAAGAAGCTGATAGAAGTAGAAGGGTTTTGTTTCCTGGTGCTTTTCAAAGCAAAGACAGAATAAGTAGGATCTTTCAAATAGGTTGCCTTGCATTGATAGTTTGACAATCAGTGTGCCATTCCAGGAACCAAAAACAGGGCAAGGAAAATGGTAAAGGGTAGACTGAAATAAATATCATCTCATCACTCCTTAAAAATATAAATGGACTAGAGTATTTGCATGGCTGGAATTTTGGCACTTAAGTTCATTCTCATTCAGCTTTAAGGAAGATAAGGATACAAGCCCTCTACTTATTTGGTTGCTGTAAGATAGGAAGTCTATAAAGACACTCAAAAAATATGTAAAACAACTCAAGTTTCAAGTTTTTATGATCATTTTGTTTTTTTAGAAAAAGACATTGAAGTATTAAGGAACTGGCATACACTTGAACCACCCAAAATAAAGATTAATGATTTATAATTACCACACAAAACAAATTTAATTTGAGCAATACATTTTTCAGATTTAGGACTCAGGGCAGATTTGTAGAAAGGTACTATCAAGAAAAGATAAAATACAATTTTTATGGCCTTTTCAAAATTGTATGACCTTATCAAAACTATGATTTTTGACATTTCTGTATATATAAAATTGAGCCCAAATGTTTGAAGTAATCATTGATACGCTCTTCCTTTTTGCGTGTGAGAAATATATGACTTCTTTTGCCATAGACTTGTAATTCTAAGAAAAAGTCATTCCAGAGTTGTTGAAAATTTCAATAATCATGCTAAAGCAAAAAATTCAACATGTCATTTCTGGGTTACTCCTAAAGTTTGCTTCATTTTTTCATAAGCCACATAACTGATGCCCACAGCAGGGAGAACCTTCATGAAGTTTGGAGTGATGCCTCTGTAAAGACCTGGTATTCCTTCTTTGGAAATTATTTGTTGAAAGAGGCCAACCATGTTCATTGGTTTGTTTCCTTCTATCATGGCTAGAAAAAGAAAAAGGAAAAGAAACCAGGCAAATTTAATATTTAGGCATGTTTTGTTATTACTACCATAAATTATTATGATTCAGAATGACATTAGAGAATACAATGAAAGGATAATATTTATTCCAAGCAGCCTAAGAAAGTACCCCTTTATATAATTCTCCTTGCAGGGCACCTAAGAGCGAGTTCCATAATTATAATAACAACGATAAAACAGTTATTTGTTGAGTGACTACTATGTATTAGATACTGGGTTAATTACATACCAATCCTACAAGGCTTATACCCATTTTATAAATGAGGAATTGGGAGTCTTAGAAAGATGGAGAAACTTGGCCAAGTACACTTAGCCAGTAAGTGGGAGAGCTGAGAGCAGAATCTTTCTGATTCCAAAGTTCCTACAAGGCTTATACCCATTTTATAAAGAGGAATTGGGAGTCTTAGAAAGATGGAGAAACTTGGCCAAGTACACTTAGCCAGTAAGTGGGAGAGCTGAGAGCAGAATCTTTCTGATTCCAAAGTTCCACCACCCTGCATGGCCACCACCACCCCTCCTCATCAACCACGTGCTGAAAAGAGAGTAGTTCAATCGAGGGGAACACTTTGTGGAGCTTACAAAAATGTAGAGTCCCTGGGCTGTGAATATGACCTCAAGAGGCAAAAAAGGGAGGATGGGACAGCTGCCACAACAAAGACAAAGGTGGGAACATGCATGTGCCACAGGGACACTACTAATGTCAAAGTGGTTATTGCACAGGGGGTACCCAGCGGCAGGAGGCGGGCAAGGCAGGGCTCTGGGGAAATGGACAGGGGGCGAAAATATAAAGTGGGGCCAGATGACGACAGGCTTTGAAATTCCCACTACGAACTTTTAGAATTTATTCTGAGGACACTGGAGAGTCACAAAGATTTCTGAACAGGAATAAAACAATCAGACGTTGACTTTAAAAATGACAGATCTGTCGGCCATGAGGGGATGGGGACTGAAATGTAGTTGGCAGACGGCAGGGAGGACTTGCCAGGTGACGCTTTCAATCAGACAGCCTGGGTTTGAAGTCTAGCTCCACTATTCACCAAATGTATAACCTAATGGAAGTCACTTAATCTCCTTCTGCCCCAGTTACTCATCTGTAAAATGCAATCCCGAAGATGGCTGTGGTAGTTAAATGAGAGGATACATATAAAATATTTAGTTACTACTTTGCATTTTTCTCTCCAGCCATATGATCTCCCAGCACCTCAAATGGTCCCCGTTTCTCCTGCCTCAGTGCCCTCACATATGCTTTTCCTCAGGCTAGAATGCTCTTCCTTTCCCAACCCGCCCACCGTTGCCCAGCTAACTCCCACCTGTCTTCCCAGGCTGAGCTTAACAACAATGTTCTCTGGTTCCCAAGTAAGGCTAGAGCTTCTTGCTCTGTGCTCCCCTAACAAAGGGGAGGTGGCTTACTTGGTGTTGACCGTGTGTCTTCTCCGCTCAACAATGGCAAGGCCCACAACTGACTTGTGGACTGCTCTAACCTTAGCATCTGGCAGTTTCCAGAGCCTGACCACGGCTCTGCAAGTATTTGTTAATTAACGAGTGAAAGCTTGGTTGGGGGGTGGCGAGGGAGGTTGGTACTTCAAAGAGAGACTGGGGACAGAGCTGTGGATACCCAGGGGACACTATTTAAAGAAATGATAGTGGGTGAGACTGGCCAGCAAAAGAGCCAAAAAGAAAAGAAAGGAACAGGCTACATACTTTAAATAGCAATAAAAGCCAGCAAATCTTAAAAGAATAATCAATGAACTGGCAGAGGGCCAGGAAGACTCAGTATAATCAAAGTCAAGAAAGGGGCGCCTGGCACAAGCATCCGTCTGTTAAACATCCAACTCTTGATTTTGGCTCAGGTCATGATCTCAGGGTGTTGAGACCAAGCCCCCCTCAGGCTCAGCACTGGGTGTGGAGCCTAATTGAGACTCTCTCTCTACCGCCCTCTCTAAAGCAAACACAAAAGCCAAGGCAGAGAACAATGGCACAATGAGGAAGGATCATAGTTCAGCAGTTGTAGGGTCCAATAATAATAAATAATTCCAGCCACCATTTACAAGAATTTGCCAAAGGCCAGGTGCTTTACATATATTGCTGCTAATTCTCACAACACTGCAGTTTTCATTTCCATTTACAGATGAGAAAATGAAAATCCAAAGTGGTTTGGGGCAAGAATCTAAACCCAACCCAATCCATCTAGATACTAAAGCTTACATACTCTTAAAACATGTACTGTCGATATGGGCAAAAAAAAAAAGATCTCAGTTTAGGCATAAAGCACAGATATGCAAACAGTACATGCGCAGTGTATCTGTGGTATTAAAGTTTCATGAAGGGACACCTGGGCAGCTCAGTCAGTTAAGCAGTGGACTCTTGGTTTTGGCTCAGGTCACGGTCTCAGGGTCATGAGATGGAGCCCCATGTCAGGCTCCCTCCTCAGTGCAGCCTGCTTGGGTTTCTCTCTCCTTCTCCCTCTGTTCCTCCTCCCCTTCCCGCCTCTGTCTAAAATAAATAAATAAATGAACCTTTAAAAACAAAACAAAACTCACCTTGAGCCTGCATGCGTGTTCTCACCAAAGCCAAGGGGTAGCTAGCCAGCTGACCACAGGTGCTGGATAAGGCACCGCATCCCAGCAAGACCATGACTCCAGGGTTTACAGAGTCTTTGGCATAATTATCCAGCCAATGGGCCTTCAAGAGCTGCCAGAGTAACAGAAAAGAAGAAAATCAGTGCTTGCACTCAGCACAAACATTTTCACAGTCACTCTTGTCCTTACAAGAGACAGGCCACACTTCTGCAAGATCAAGTGGCACATTCCCAGGAGCACCAGCCACTGTAGGAGGCAGCAGCTCTGCAGAGACAGGGAAGGGAAGCCACTGGGGATTCAGACCATGTGAGGTTTGCACTGGTTGCTCATTTTCTTCCAAACAAATGTCAAGATCAACAGCACTCCAAATACAGTATCTCAAGAACATTTCCTGTAGTATTAATAAAAACAATATAATTCTACTAATTGCATCTAATTTTGTACTTTACACATATGTTATTTCATTTAGTCCTTTCTCCGAGGTGGAGTTATTCTTACAATTTTAGAAATGAGAAAAATGAGTCTCAGGGCAATTTTTTTAACAAGGGTGCAGAATCAAGGGTACTGATCCCCAGGCTATGCCTTTCCCCCTATTATCCTACATCCATGTATTTTCATTAGAAGGCAATTGAAAGTAATTGTATAAAATACATATGCTAATCTAATTTTTAAATATACAATATTTTAAGTATAAGAATCTAGGCTAATATGTAAGGGAAATTATTGTTATGGTAGCACAAGCATAGTAATATACTACCTAAAGCAATCTACGAATTCAATGCAATTCAATTCCCTACCTACTCAAATCCCCATGGCATTTTTTGAAGAAAAAGAGAAAACGCCCTAAAATTCATATGGAATTTCAAGGGACCCCAATAAACCAAATAATCTTGGAAAAAAAGAATAAACTTGGAGGCTTCATACTCCCTGATCTTAATAGACACTACAAAGTAACAGTAATCAGATAATGTGGCACTGCCATAAAGACAGACATACAGACCAATAGGACAAAATAGAGTCCATAAATAAATTCTTAAATACATGGCCAAATGATCGTCAACAAGGATGCCAAGACTACACGCTGGAGAAAGAACAGTCTCTGCAACAAACGATGTGGAGAAAATTGAATATCCACATGCAAAAGAATAAAGTTGAAGCTTTACCTTATACCATGTACAGAAATTAACTCAAAATGGGTTAAAGAAAAAAAAAATGGGTTAAAGACCTAAACATAACACCTAATACTATAAAACTTCCAGAAGAAAACATGGGATAAAAGCCTCAGGGCACTGAATTTGGCAATGATTTCTTAGATAGGACATCAAAAGCAGAGGAAACAAAAGCAAAAATAAATAAATGAACTCCACCCAACTTAAAAACTTCTGTGCAGCAAAGGAAACAATCAGCAGGGTGAAGGGCAATCTATGGAATCAGAGAATATATTTGCAAACCACACATATGATTATGGGTTTTTAACCAAAACATATTTATAGAACTCCAATAACTCAACAATTTTTAAAAAAAACAATTAAAAATGGGCAAAAGCAACAGATATATGAAAAGATGCTCAACATTGCTAATCATCAGGGAAATGCAAATCAAAACCATAATGAGATATCACCTTACCTATACTGAAATGACTAGGATCAAAAAAGATAAGAAATAGGGGCACCTGGGTGGCTCAGGGGGAAAGTACCTGACACTTGATTTGGCTTAGGTCATGGTCTCAGGATCGTAAGATCAAGCTGTGCATCGGGCTTCATGCTAGGTGGGGAACCTGCTTAAGATTCTTTCTCTCCCTCCCCTTTTCCCCCTCTGCCCACGACCCCCCTAGAGCTCACTCTAAAAAAAAAAAAAAAAAAGAAAGAAAGAAAGAAACACTGTTGGCAGGGATGTGGCACAAAAGGAACCTTCATGCGCTGTTGTAGGAGTATAAATTGATATGGCCACTGTGGAAAACAGTACAGAGGCCTGTCAAAAAATTAAAAGGTAGAACTACCGTACAATCCAGCAATTCCACTATTGGGTATTTACCCAGAGAAAATGAAAACACAAATTAATACCCTTATGTTTACTGTAGCATTATTTACAATAGCTAAGACACGAAAGCAACCTAAGTGTCCATAGACAGATGAATGGATAAAGAAGATATGATGTGTGTTCATGCATGTGCACGTGTGCATGTGCATACACAAACAATGGAATATTATTCGGCCATAAAAAAGAATAAGATCTTGCCATTTGCAACAGTGTGAATGGACCTAGAGAGTATTATGAGGGTATTAAGTGAAGTAAGTCAGAGAAAGACACATACAATATGATTTCATTTACATGTGGAATCTAAAAAATGAACAAACAAAACAAAAAAAGTAGAAACAAATTCTTAAATACAGACGGTTGTCAGACGGGGGTGGGGGGCTGGGGAGGCAGAGACAGGCAAAATGGGTGAAGGGTAGTGAAAGGTAAATGCTTAAGTCATAGAATGAGTCAGTCACAGGGGTGAAGGGTACAGCAGAGGGGATAGAGTCAATGGCATTGTAATTATGCTGTATGGTGACAGATGGGAGCTATACTTGTGGTGAGCACAGCATAACGTATCGTCGAGTTGCCGAATCACTATGTTGTGCACCTAAAACTAATGCAACCTGTGTCAGCTGTATTTCAACAAAGAAAATTGGCAAAAAAAAAATTGGCAAAAAATGTTGGTAGACATTTCTCCAAAAAAGATGTATAAATGGACAACAAGCATATGAAAAGATGCTCAACCTCACACATTATCAGAGAAATGCAAATACAAACCATAATGAGACATTGCCTCACATCTGTTAGGATGGCCACTATTAAAAACAACAACAAACTATCAAGTGTTAGCAAGGATGTAATTAGAAGTCTTTTTTTTTTTTTTGTAATTAGAATTCTTATGTACTACTTGTAGGAATGAAATCGGGTACAGCTACTACATAAACCAGTTTGACAGTTCCTCAAAGAGCTCAACACAGATTTACCATAGGATTCAGCAATTCTACACCTTAGTATACACCCAAAGGAACTGAAAGCAGAGACCTGACCAGATACTCGTATCCAGTAGTATTTACTGCAGTATTATCCACAAAAGCCAGAAACTAGAAACAATCGAAGTATCCACCAACAGATGAACAGATAAACAAAATGTGGTATATACATACAATGGGATATTATTCAGCCAACAAAAATGAAGTTCTGACACATGCTACAACATGGATGAACTTTGAAAACTTTATTCTAAATGAAATAAGCCAGACAAAAAAGGAAAATATTGTATGATTCTACTTGCATGAAATAACTAGAATGGATGAATTCACAGAGACAGAAAGAAGATCAGAGGTTACCAGGGGCTGGGGGAAAGGGAGAGTGGAGAATTATTTTACAACAGTTATAGAGTTTATGTTAGGGATCATGAAAAAAGTACTGGAAATAGTGAACTGTACTCTTAAAAATGGTTAAAATGGCAAATTTTATGTTACATACATGCAGAAGGCAGACGCTCAACCACTGAGCCAGTGTCCCTGAATTGTACACTTCAAATGAATGACATGTATGGTATGTAAATTTTATCCTAATAAAACTGTTTAGAAAAAAATGGTAAAGTCCCCTAAGAAAACGTGTGACACATTCCATGCCCCGCCTTCCCCCGCTCAGCCATAGGCTTACTTCTATCACAGCACAACTACCCAACACTGCTTCAGAGGTTTCTTGTCTCTCCCTGACCAAAACTTCAGTTTTTTAAAGGCAAAAACCGAGACTGTCAGATTCATAAATTATTAAATGGTTTAAATGGCAGAGCTGGTCCAAGATTTGTGGTCTGAGCCATCTTTTCAGTACTGGGGATGAATCTGTGCCAGCCACATAGTCTCTTGGCTTTATTGATGTCAGATTTTAACAAATCAAAGAAAATGTGCCCTCTTTGCTTATTTCCTCTCCCCTCAAAAAAATCCCTAGGACCATCTTCTAAGATAAACAATTTTATTTTTTTGGTGTGTAGGGAGCCAGATATGTATCAGGGGTCAATGCTGGTGGACGGAAGTTTGAGGAAAGAGTCCGGGAGAGAAGTAAATTGTAATGCAAATTTGACAAAGCATAGGACAGCCCTACAGAATCTCTCGCCCATCAGGGTTTCCCCGTGTTGGGCTGGGCCTTCATCTCACTGCCTGGCTCAGTGTGGGCACAGGGCTCTCCATGCAGGGCCTGTGGCAAGGCAGCTCTCTGCTAAGTGGAACAATTATATGTGAACGTGAGTTTGTGCTCTTCATTAATAAAAGTAATTTGCAGGGAAATCTGATACAAAGGCGACCACAAGCATATGGAGTCCCATGTTCAAGGTACTTGGCAAAAAAAAAAAAAAAAAAAAGATCAAGTAACACACTCCTGAATCCACTTTTAGTCACAAACTATTTCCTGGTATATATGTACTTCTTTACATAAGGTCAAATCCTAACAATAAGAACTATTTAACTACATTTTCAGATTCAAAAGACTGCTACAAACTTACCTCGTAGACAGCAAGATCTATGCCTGCATAAGGTATGATGCCTAGTAAGTTGGGGACATAGCCTTTGTAAAAAGCTCCCATGCCTTCATGTTTCAAAATCTTCTTGGCACAATCAAATATTCCAGAATATTGCCTAGTTTTGCCTATAGCCAGCCTGGTCTTCACAACCTAGTTATAAAAGAATGTAATGAAATATTATCATTCATATTCATCCTGACATCATGGAATTCAAAGGAAGTAATTTTACAGAGAACAAATACCTAGCACATGTTGTCTCTCAAATGAATGCCCAATTTGTTGATCTGTCATCCCTCACGTATTATGTCTATTGAAGGGCTAAGAGCAGAGCCAAGAAGACTTATTTATTGTAAAGAGGATCTGAATGAGGGCAGAGGAAATAGAAAATAATTTACAGATGTCTTAAAATTGACTGGTGGCCAATGAGATATGGGAGGTGAGGGAAATGGTAGCATACAGGATGGTCCCAGGTGTCTAGCTTGGAACACAGGAGTGGGGAGGGAAGGCGATGCTACTAACCGAGATGGAGGATGTAAGAAGATGACATGAATTCAGTTAGAATAGTTCTTGAAGGGTGTGAGGAATAACATGAGCAATCATATTAAGAAGCTGACCAGGAAAGCTATATTAATAGGCATACCACAGAGGTGAAAATTAAGGGTATATTTTGCTTAGATCTTTTTAGTTGTTGAAAGCCCTTTGCCGTATCAATAAAGGTAGCCAAATCTACAGTATCATTTTTGCTCTAAAGCAAGAGTTGGTCAACTTCTCCTGCAAAGACCAGGAGTCTTTTAGTCTTTGCAAGCCTAAAATCTCAGGTCTGTTGCATATTTTTTTCATTTTCTTAACCAACTTTTAAAATGTATAAAACCATTCTTAGCTCAAGGGCTTTACAAAGTACTTCCCAGGCACGTGGTTTGCCTACCTATGCTATAATGGTAGGATGTCTAGTTAGGACTGCCATCAACTCATCATATTTATTATTGAATTTGGCACAGTAACTCTTTGAAGAGGAATGGGTGTTAAAATTCCCATCAACACTGTGGCAGCCAGCCTCCAAGTGGGCCCCCAACTATCCCTGCCTCCTGGTGTTCTCACAGTGTGTAGTGCCCTCCCATGCCCTCCCACAGGTGGTCTGTATGACCAACAAAATACAGCAGAAATGACAAAAGATTGCAGCTTCCATCTTGAGTACTGGCTAACACACATTCATTCTCTCTCCCTCTCTCTCTTTCATATCACCAAGTTGGGGAAAACAGCTATTACGTTGTAGGGGCACTCAGAGAGCCTAGGGAGAGGCCCTGGTGGTAAGGACTTGACATCTCTAGCTGTAATCGCCAGCGAGGCCCAGTAACAAACACATGAGTGAACTTGGGACGCAGACTTGTCTCCAGCTGAACACTGCAGTGACTGCAGCCCTGACCTGCACCTTGACTCTAAGCTCAAAGAAACCCTGAGCCAGGAGCACCCCATTAAGCTACTCCCAGATTCCTGACCCACAGAAACCCTGAGATAATAAATGCTGGTGTTAAACTGCTAACCTGGGGATAACTTGCTGCCCAGAAATAGCTAATGACACAAACACCACCAATACAGTCAGATTTCACAATGGTACTTACCTCCATAGGATAAATAATAGTCTGTGCAGTCGCTCCAGCCAGGGAACCAGAAACAAATCTCTTAAAGGTTCCTACTTTTTGTCCTTCCTCAGTAAGCAACTTCTTGTACTGTATAAATACATTTAAAAATGTATATTAATACCTGTTAGAGACTGAATCATGTCTCCTCCTCCCAATCATGTTGAAGCTGTAACCCCTCCCCACCAACTGTGGTGATACTTGGAGATGGGGCCTGTAGGAGATTATCAGGGTTAGATGAGGTCCTAAGGGTGGGGCCCTTGAAAGGATTAGTGTCCTTAAAACAGGCACCAGAGAGTTTTTTCTCCCCTCCTTTCCTTTCTCTCTTTCTTTTTTTTAAAGATTTTATTTGTTTATTCATGAGAGACACACAGAGAGAGGCAGAGACATAGGCAGAGGGAGAAGCAGGCTCCCTGTGGAGAGCCCGATGCGGGACTCAATCCTACGACCCTGGGATCATGACCTGAGCCCAAGGCAGACACTCAACCACTGAGCCACCCAGGTGCCCTTCTCTTCCCCTTTCTGTACACTCATGCACTAAAGAAAGACCATATGAGCACACACAGCAAGAGGGTAGCCACGTGCAAGCTTGGAAGAGGGCCCTCATCAGAAACCAAATTGGTCAGAACCTGGGTCTTGGATCTTCCAGCTCCAGGACTATGGGAAATTCAATTCTGTTGTTTATTTAAAGATTTCACATATTTATTTGACAGAGAGAGAGAGAGCACAAACAGGGAGAAGCAGGCTCCCTGCTACCGTGGGGCTCAATCTCAGGACCCTGGGGCTATGACCTTTATGACCTGAGTCGAAGGTAGACACCTCACTGTCTGAGCCACCCAGGCACCCCGAAGTTCTGTTGTTTAAATAACCAATATGGTATTTTGTTATGGCAGCCTGAGCTAAGTAAATACCAAAATACAAATCAGCTCTTAGTAACCAATTAATTGATAATATGATGATGTTTTTCCAACTGCATACACTGCATTAGCAATACATGGCAGAAAAGCAAGGCTCAGATGCTAAAACATTTAGTTCACTGGAAAGCGGTCTTCAAGTTAGATTTCCACAGAACACAGATGTTCCAAAGATGGGGCCCAGTTGTTCCTTTGCTAAAACACAATAATAGTATTCTTTCCCAGAAAATACAGGGTTAGGGGATGCCTGGGTGGCTCAGCAGTTTAGTGCCTGCCTTTGGCCTAGGGCATGATCCTGGAGTCCTGGGATCGAGTCCCACATTGGGCTCCCTGCACGGAGCCTGCTTCTCCCTCTGCCTGTGTCTCTGCCTCTCTCTCTGTGTCTCTCATGAATAAATAAATAAAATCTTAAAAAAAAAAAAAAAAGAAAAGAAAAAAGAAAATACAGGGTTGGTAAAGTGTTCACAATTTTTGGATGTTTTCCTCATAGTTTTTCCTTTTTTAAGATGTTTATTTTCCCCAGTATAAAGTAAGTGATAGATATTAACAAAACAACTGAGAAAGACATTTCTGCAGGTGACAGTCACACTACCACGTCAACCCGAGAGCCCACCTGGCCCACCAGTACTAACGCAACCAACAGAGCCGATCAGGCCAAAGGTAAAATCTGATCCCAATGCAGTCAAAGTAACTGCAGATCACGATGGAAATAGGACGGGCTGTGGAGTCAGGCAGATCCGGGCTGGAACCCCAGGAACCTGTGGCCCTGAGCAAGTTCGTGAACATGTTCCCTCATCTGTGATAATAGGACCTTTTCTCACATGGTTGCCAAAAGGATTAAATAAGCTAATACATATAATACAGCATAGTGCTGAGCCCATGGCAAACGTTCAGGAAAAGTCATTACTATCACCACTCTCTTCTACAACTTGGAAAGAAAGGCCCTGACCAAACACAGACTGTGGACATAAACCAGGCAAACCAGATTCCTTGTTTTAGAAAGGTGACAGTGGGTCTACGGAGGTAATTAACCACTGACCTCGGAGGGAGAAGTGGACAAACGAAGAAAGAGAAATGGGAGGCTAACTGAGCTCTCAGAGCCACCCTGAAATCCTCTTGTCTATCCTTTTCTCTTCCATTTGTTGTAACACCTAATTCAGTGTTTCCGTTCTCTTCCAGCTGCCAATACCACTTCCTCCCTCATTCTCAGGAAATGTCCTTTCTTGGGAACACAGGGAAGAACAGAGGCCACCAAGCAAGAATATTCCTGCCCACCTTCCACAGAATTATCTACATGTACGTATATCTTTTTTCCCAAAATGACATAAGCAGAGTGAGTCCTCTGTGCCATCAAAGCCACTCCTTCCCAGGGAGGAGCACTGGTCATAGCACTCGTGTCTCCCCAGCCCTTCCACCCCCACACATACCTCCTGTGAACACCTGCTGCATTCATCAGCCTCTCCTGTACTTTTAACTTGCATCTATTGTGTTGACATGCTTCCTTCAGCAACGGGCACATTAAAGTAAAACATATCAAAACCTTCCCTGGGCCCACCATCTTTCTTATCTATCACTCTTCCTCATTTCCTTTCCTTCTCTTTATTCAAGTCAAGCTCCCCAAAAATGTGTCTACACTGGACAATTCTGGTCACCGCTGGGTGTACTTTCACTCATTTCAGAATGGTTCCTCATCTCTTCACTTCCCTGGATCCTTACACCAAGATCTCCTATCTGTGGGTTGCTCAATCCTAAAAGATACTTTTCTTAGTGTGTGTACCACTGTGTAGCCTTCCCGTAACCCTTTTGCATCCTCTCACTTCTAGGCCACCAGTCTCTGCACTGCCTCCTGTGTCTCGGGCTGTTCCTTCTCAGTCTCCTCTACAAAGGGCTCCTTCTACTTCTCCCCGGGCATATTCCCAGAATTCTTCTGTTCTGTAAGTCTTCCTCAGTGATCCATTCCAACGACTTCAACTCAAAAACCACTTCTCCATCAGAGATCAAAAGTCCTACTGGACCGCTAACTTTTCATGTTGCAGAGATGCCCCAAACTCTGCATGGCCAAAATGGAACCAGTCATTTTACCCCAGAACCTATTCCTCTTCTTGTAGTCTCCATGTGTGTAGTTGCCCAAATTAGGACCCAGAGTATCATCCTTGATTCCTCTTTTCTTTCTCATCTCCATGTCCACTCAGTCAGTGAGTCCTGGCAATTCTATTTCCAAAATATTTTTCAGTTCATTTCCTTCTTCTCCAGTTTCTCTAGCCACCACCTACCCTGGTGCTCATCTTTCTTACCTGGGTGACAGAAATATTTCCTGAAATAGTCTCCCTGCCTCCAGTCTGGCCTTGCTGTCCTCTAATACATTCTCCATTTCTTCCTAAGTTGATATTGATATTAATGTGATATTAAATGTAATAATATGTAAATAAAATGTGAATAGTATGATATTAAACGTAAATATACTCATTTCACTTCCCTACAGAAGATGCTTCAATAGCCCCTTCACCCTCTTCTGGATAAAATCAAGACTCCTATTACACTTGGCTTCTGTCTACCTGTCCAGCCTGCTTTCATCATTTTCTTCCCAGAAACACACTCCACTGCACTGGAACCAAATGAACCACCTTCAACCACCTTTCCTTAATGAATGATGCTCGCCTGTGCCTATATTTCTGTTCACATGCTACTGCTGATGCTTCTGCTCAAAATACACACTTTCCTCTTCACCTGAGTGGACCTGAGATTCAGGCAGGCTTATTAGGCTCAAAGTCCACATCTGGCACTTCTGTGTTTTCACTCATTCAGTGAGGATCCACTGGCACTAGACTAAGTGTTGAGAATGCAGACCTGAAAACAAATGTTGCCTAACAAAGCTCAATCTTGTTAAGGGAGAGATAAGTACTACGATCAACCAGTGTGACAGTGTTCAACAGAGGACAACAAAAAGACCTGTAACAATGAAGGTTTCTTGGAGAATGTTCGCCACTATCTGTCATTCGCCAACCTGAGTGAGTCAAGTCTTCGTAGGATGTCCACCCCTATCTGAAATTTGCTTCAACAAACACTCACAGAGCACTTATCACAACGCCAGGTTCCAAGTGCTACAGTCCATGGAGAAGTAGCCAAGCCCCTGCCCTCATGGAGCTTTCATTCTAAATTCAGTTCAACTCATTCAAAATGAGTAAGCAAAAATCCTGTATTTCTTTTAAGAGTTGCTATGAAAAGAATACAGAAGTCTTTTTAAAATAAACAATTTGAAATTGAGAATTCTAAAATTTGTTCATTAGGAATCTGAATTTATGTAATCTAATCTCCTGTCAAAGAAATTCCTCCTGGAGTATAAGTGGAAAATTATTATATAGTAAAACAAGAACCCCAAAAGAACTATGTGTTCATTGCTACTGAATCAGTTTTTTTTTTTTAAAAAAAAGATTTATTTATTCATAAGAGACAGAGAGAGAGAAAGAGGGAGAGGCAGAGACATAGGCAGAATGACTCTCCTGCGGGGAGCTTGATGTAGGACTTGATCCCAGATCCCAGGATCACACCCTGAGCCAAAGGCAGACACTCAACCACTGAACCACCCAGGTGCCCCACACTGAATCAGTTTATTAACTCCACAAGTGACAATTACCTGTTCATACACCCAGAACTTAATAGCTGTCTCAGGAGCAATTTTAATGACATTTGTACCGTTTCCTCTCCAAAGGGAGCGGATACCTCCTTCTTTCACCATCTGTTGAAAGCCACCATATATGTTCATTTTGCCTGATTTTGAACCATGGACCTAAAAATAAAAGCAAAATAATATGAAACATTGGTGGCATGTTACTGCTACTATTTCTAAAGTAACTGTACAATCCACCCTCTTTAATACTATTTATTACTGTAAGAAGATGTATTTAAAATAGAATATAGAAAGTTCAGATAATGCATAATGATAGGAACAATTATTAGAGGCCATTTTAGAGGCCTGACTCTAAATCTAAAACTAAAAAACAAACAAACAAAAAACCCCAGTATCCTCAGCATGGGAAAGAAGACAGAAAGGACATAATCTAAATTAAAATTATTATGAACAACATTCATAACATGAACCAAATTATGTATTAGGCTATAGAACACCCCTTGGAATGCAAACAAGTTCACTTTAAGAAAACTTTTTAAAATATGCTGCAGGTAATATACTATCTTTCCCCCTTAAGAAGTAATACAAAGATGAAATATAAAGAGGCCTGAAAATAATTTTGTATTATGTATATCAGAGCCGTAGACTCTGGAATGCACATAGCCTGGCAAGAAAAGTAAAAATTATACCTTCTATGGATTACTTCAAAGCCTCTCTAGGCAATAAATTCATGAAGACATGAATGCCTCGCCCCGTCAATACTTGGTTTAGATAACAGAAGTGATCGCTGTTTAAATACACTACACCTTATAACGGCCTCTATATAAAAAATCAGTAAATCTAACAAGCCAAAACAAGTAAAGAAATCAGCTCTTCTTATTGTTTTGGCTTACACAAAATAAGTGACTACTGTAAAAAATAGAAAAACAAGATGTAAGAGGCTGACAATTGAAGGTCAGCCATGTGGGCAATATGTGGTTGATCCGCAATAAAGACTTGGGTGAACTTTCTTGGCTGGCTTGCAACACTGTGCATATTGTCACACATCAATGCCAGGAAAGGAGCACATCATGACTTTACAGGGGTTAGACAACAAAAGCTCTGCATTTCATACTTTACAGGACTTGGACTTATATGCTTTCTTTGGCTGATTTTAATCTGTATCTTTGCCCTGTAATAAGCCACAACCAAGAGTGTGCTTTAAGAGTCTTACTGAATTATTGAACCTGAAGGTTGTTTTGAAAAACCCCCCTCATTCACCGCACAGAACTTTCAAGAAATAAAGTCCAGAGATACCCATTTTCTTTTAAGTAAGCTTCACAATAAAATATGATAAAGGAAAAGAGGAATGCTTATTCAAGCTCAAAGTCAACTTACTATCATCCTTAAAGAAAAACACAAGCACTGATTCCTTCTTCTTTTTCTTTAAAGGACTATTTTTACCCCTACATGTATTTTGAGATTTAGGTATATTCTGAATGGCTGTTAGCTTAAAATATTGTCAGAAATCTTTTTATATTATATGTAAACTAAGGATGAGTACTAAAAAAGTATGGACCATAGGTATGACACAACACAACTTTTAAAACTATTTTCTAAGCAACTACTATATTCCAGTAGGGTGTTCCAGTGTATTAGGCATTTGCACATGCTTTATCATTTAATTCTTACAATCAGCCTTGTTAGCTATTCTTTTTTTTTTTTTTTTTTTTGTTAGCTATTCTTAATCCCACTCTAGAATAAAGGAAAATGAGATCTCAGGAGTTTCATGCAGTGTGAGAACTACAAGCTCTACAAAGATACAGTATTCCTCATCTAATTTGTTGTAAAGGAAAAGCCAATTACTTATCTGAGCCTCAGGTTCTCCACCAATAATGTGAGGATAAAATACCATTGCTATGAGGACTAAATGGGTTACCATAATGAGGACCAAATGAATAGCAATTCCTTTCCTTTCTCTCTCTCCACTCAGATCAGACCACATTGCTAGTAAATAGCAAAGCCAGTCTATAAATCCAGATCTTTTTTGCTCACCTCATCTTTAGAAACACTTTAAAAATTACATCCATGTTTCAAGGGTCAAAACTTTAGAAATATCTCACTTTTGAGAATGTATATAAAACAAAAGGAAAATATTATCATTTTCTACAATAATGGGTAGATTTTTTTCCTCACTAAACATTTGAAAAGTCATGGAATGCCAGAGATTAAAAGTCCATCACACACTTGTACCCACAATTTAAGCTTTGGTGAAATACACATATGGACCAGAATCAGGGCTAAGAGCAATAAAATAGAGATTTCACACCTTTTTTTTTTTTTAAAGGTATGAAAGAATATTATGGAGAAATTTTAAAACTTCCTTTTCAAAGCACTACATTTCTCATTGTTTTAGAATTATGTAGGAGAAACACAAGATCATAAAGTTCACCTGCATCATGACTTTCAGACGATCCAAAGGGGCAGTGCTTGTTCGAGAGACAGCACCAGCAATACCTCCTGCCAAAAGTTGCCTCCACCACTGTCCAGACTTCTTTTCATCTTCCGTGAATTCATCCGGAATAGTTAAACTATCTCCTATGTCAATACCCTGTTAAGATGGAAAAAAGATCCCCATTCTCCTTCAATTAAAAAAAGATCACTGCAGAAGGTTTGTTTTGGAGAAGAATCGTGTTATTTTACAGTGAAGATCAACTTCATTCCTTCATTCCTCATTCCAATTTGAGCATGTAGATGATTTTAAATAGCTTCATCACACTAAATGAAGTGCAGAATCAGTTCACAATAAATGAAAGTTAACAGTACATTACAAATTTACAAAACCAACAATTACAACAACTTTCTTTCTTAATAGATTAAGTAAGAGTAACTTTTCTCCTCTTGGTCTAAGTCAGAATGAAAGGTCAGCCTTTTTGGCAGATGTGAATCCTTTTTAGCTACAGAAAGAAATGAGTTTTGTCAATTCTTCAAAGATACTCCCTTTATCTCAAAATTCTATCCATGTTATTCTTTATACCATGCTATGTGCTTTAGACCTGTAAATAAAAATTAGATTAATGCTTTATAAGTGAAAACCTCAAAACTCATTTCCTATGTAGATTGCTTATAAATATTTTTACAGACTTGTCATTTAAACTATGCAACAGATTCTTTATAAATTTTAGCCAACAGGGAGGTACTGTTTAAAAATAATCCTTCCTCCAATCTACTCTATAAACATTACCGCAGATTATAAATATAAATATAATATATATTATAAATACAATATATATTATAAATATGCAGATAAATGGGAGTTCTAGAATGATAGTATGTTTACAACTTTATTATCTAAATGATTCTGCTGTAAAAGATTTTATAAGTAGGAGTACAGGGGTAAGAGGCTATGCTATAGTAGTAACCCCCTCTTTCTTTATTTCAGTATCAAAAAAATGAATACATGATTATAGCTTCAACTGTCAACAATTATCTCCAAAAGTATAGTAAAAGTCTGATTATGTAAATACAAACTGACATAGATAGAAAATATATCTAGGTAACTGAACTACTAATATAGTATATTATTCTATACTCAGAGAAGAGGCATTAATCACCAGAATTTTATAATATTCTATTTAAGTTTGGCATTGTTACTAGCAGCAATGTGAACCCTAGGCTTCATTTGTTATGTGTAAAATTTATTGAAATCCATGAATAAACATAGCAGACAAGCCCACTAGGAAAATTAAAATTCCCTCCAAGAGTTCCATTGGTTTCAGGAGCAGATTGCACAATAAACTGACCTTCATTTATACTAACATATGTTAGCAAAGTATTAATGAAATTTCATTAAAATTTGAAAGTTTTGAGAAATACAAATAGGGGTGAATTGCTAAACAAAAGAGCCAAAATTGTTTTAACCTTCAATAATTATAAGTACCCTTATCCAAGAGACAAATCTAGAGAGTTGATAAAATAAGCAAAAATTTCAGAAGTCATCTCTGGCCATCATTAATGGCCAAGGAAATAGAATCTCAGCAATCATGATGTGCTGAGATTACTTAAGCAATGTAGTATCTATAAAAAGTAAAAACCTATGACTTTCACACTTCTCTTGGCAAAATACTTAAATGCAATAAAAGCTAGGCAGCTCATTTTCATAAGATTTTTAGAAGTGTATGATGAGTATTGTTGTACTCCTCCAACTATTGAACATGACAAAAATGGGTACCGCATTTGCAATATTTATGTAGCCTCAGGGTTTTAAGGTGTTGCTTTTTTTTTTTAAGGTATTCTGAATATACACCTAACAGAATAAGCAGAACTCTACAAGCTACGGAGCCCTGGGAATTGGGCACCCCGGCCCAGAAGCCTTAGAGTATTCTCGTGTGATAAATAACTATGGCTTACAACTAAGTGTAATGTAATACATATGGCATACTTACAGTAGAACGTTTCCAGAAACGGATAATTTCCTCAATGTCTGTAGCAGGATTTAGTAAGAAATAGTCCCTCCATTCATTCCAGTCTATTGTCATTGTCCCATCAGTATCAATACTGAAAATTAAAAGAAGCTAATTAAAAAACAAGATAAATCTTATAAAAGTAAAACATTATTGGCCATTTTGCAAAATGACAGTTTCTTTTCCAACTCAACGTTCTTATCAGAAGATCCCAATTCACAATAAGAGGTTGTTAGAAATGGCAGCAAGCTTTTAATGTTGTTAGATAGCTTTAATCATTTACATGAAGAAGAACCCCAAAGTCACAGAGAGCTCTCACTAAAGACTACTTTTGGGACTGTGTCAAACTCTAATCAATGAGCTATCAAACAGTCAAGCTGGGAGATTGAATACTGAGAGTTAGTAATATGAATGGATTTATGATCCATTTTTTTCTTGCATTGGCTCACAAAGCCATTTCTTAACGTTCTAACATTTGGATGTGATTTTGGAATATACTCAAAATATTCTATCAGTTTCCTTCTCCAACTTCTTCAAAGCTAATAAAATTAGCAGTGATTATTTTAAAAAAAAATCTAACCTGGTTACTGAGTCCTTTGAGTCTTAAGAAATCCTAGTACCTCATCTTCAACATTTAACATTAATGTATTATAATAGCCTTAGATAATAGCTTAGAAACAAGCGTTAACATTTTGCTTGTTTTACAAGTTCTTGGCAGTGTGCTATTTGTCCAGTTTTTTCCCAAGTCCAACTCTGAACTGGGCCAGGACCTTGTTTTGTTCACTCTCCATACCCAGGACCTAAAGTGGCTAGCACAAAGAAGATGCTCATTTATTTGCTGAATTAATGACTGTCTCTGAAAAAAAGTTTAGATGACTCCTATAAACCTTATATTTATTCAATCATTATTGAATCTTTATGTATCTTTATGTAATCTTTATGTAGATAAAGCTGGCATAAAGATGGCAGTCAAATCAAATGTAATTTTCAGGTATTAATACTATCATGTTCTCTAGTGCCAATTTTAATTTTGGTCTGCATATGTGAAATTACACAGACTTTAATTTGTTCTCAGCACATGGGTGTTAACATTTCCCATGAGGATCCTAGTTACTACTAGGTCTATAACATTATTCTGGGTTGCAATATTTATAGCTCTGTTTTTATCAGTATTTTCTATTCTAATGCAATTATTTATCATCTGACCCTACCCCTCAACCTCCCATACATGCAGTCATGAGTATCCTCCACAAGGCAGGGATTTTTTATGGATTTGTTCACTGAGATGACCCAAGTGTTTAGAACAGTGCCTGGAAGAGACAATGTTTACTGAATGAATAAATGAATTCTAAATTCTGACAAACTTCTTAAATAAAATAGTCTCACTGTGCATTTAAATTGCATTTCTCTTCAAACCACTAATGGGGCTCCACATCCCTTATCATATTCACTTGCTTGTGTAAATGTTTCCCCTTGTGTGAAATGCCTGTTTGTCTCTTTTGCCCATTTTTTTTTAATGGGTTGAGTGTCTTTTTCTTTTATATGTGTAGTTCTTTATATAGTTGATTTTAATACTTCGTTATAAATTATCAAACCCTTTGTCTTTTTACTTTGTTCATGGTATCTGTGAACAGATGCTTTTAATTTTAATATAGCTGATTTTATCAATCTTTTCATTTATGCTATTGCCTTTTGTGTCTTTTTAAAAAATAAATTCTTTCCTACACTGAGGTAAAGATATTTCCTTTTCTTCCTCCAAAAGTATGATAGTTTAACTTTCATGTTTAGGTTGATCTTTGTGTGTGGTGTAAGGTAGGTACCCAGCTTCATTTTTGCCCACATAGATAACCAGATGCACTGGCACCAAGTGCAGCATAGTCTCTTCTTTTCTGCAAAGTGATCTGCAAAGCTACTTCTTTGTGTGACAAGTCCCAAATATGGATGGGTCTGTTTCTGGGATATTATGTTACATTTCTCAACTTGTCTATACCTGTACCACTATCATTATCTTAATACGAACTCTCGATATCTGATGAGGAAGTCCCCTGCTTCTCATGGCTCTTCAAGAATGTCTAGATTATTTTGGGGCCTTTGCTTTTTGATAGTAATTTGAGACTCAGCTTAACAAGTTTCTCAAAAAAAAAATTACTTTTTTTTTCCTGATGGCATTGTATCATTATCAATTTGGAGAAAAGGTACATCTTTTCTGTACTTGGTTATCTAACACAATATTTTAAGTTGCTCTTTTTAAGATTTCATTTATTTATTCATGATAGACATAGAGAGAGAGAGAGAGAGAGAGAGAGAGGCAGAGACACAGGCAGAGGGAGGAGCAGGCTCCATACCGGGAGCCCAACGTGGGACTTGATCCTGGGACTCCAGGATCGTGCCTTGGGCCGAAGGCAGAAGCTAAACCGCTGAGCCACCCAGGGATCCCCATAAGTTGCTCTTTTGTAAGTATTGATTGTGGTACATTACACTTTCTATATACAGCTAATTTTTTATCTATATAGCTAACAGATCACTATGTTTTTCTCTAAATCACAATATTTTCTCTAAAATATTTATATCTACAGGTACCTGGGTGGCTAAGTCAGTTGGGCATCAGACTCTTAATATGCACTCAGGTCATGATCTCATGGGTCATGAGATGGAGCCCATGATCCGGCTCCACGCTTAGTGGACTATCTCCCTGTCCCTCCCCCAACTCATACACTCTCTTTCTCTAAAATAAGTAAATCTTTAAAAAATATATACATATATATGTATATAAAGTAAAATATTTACAAATGTGCCATAAATGATGTTGGCCTATAATTTCCTTCTTTCATTAGTTGTCATTAGTACTTTGCTGTTACGATTATTATGGCCTCAACAGAATGGATCAGATACTGTGCTTCTACAGTCTCCATGTATTTATAAACCTGTTTTTTGATAGTTTATAAGGACCATCTGGGCTAAAATTTTTACAGGAAAATTTTTAACTATTGATGTAATGTGCTTGTTTAGATACTGTTGGCTATTTCTTCTTGATTTAGTTTTGGTAAATTATATATGTCTGGAAATTCTATTTCATATGTTTTCAAATTTATTGGCAGAAATCTGTGACATTATCTTTGAAAAACTTCTGATGTGTCTATTTGCAATCAAACATTTATCTATTACTTCCATCTCAATTTTTTCTTCATCAATATCTCCAGAAGTTTGTCTTTTCTTTTTTTAGAAAAAGATTTTTATTTATTTATTCATGAGAGACACAGAGAAAGAAGCAGAGACATAGGTAGAGGGAGAGACAGGCTCCCCACGGGGAGCCCAACTTGATCCCAGGACCCCAGGATCATGACCTGAGCCAAAAGCAGATATTCAACTGCTGAGCCACCCAGATGTCCCAAATTTGTCTTTTCCAGTAACCAATGTTTGGCTTTGTTGATCTGATTTCTGTATCTCTGCATCCTATTTCCACTGCTTCCTTAATTATCTCCTTCTTTCTACCTTCTTTGAGATTATTTTGGTTTCTCCCTTTAAATTAACACGTTAATTTTCAGCCTTAATTCTTTTCTTTTGAATTTATTTATTTCTTTCAGGTGTCAAAGTAAAAAAGATGGACAGATGAAGAGAGGGATGCAGCTGGCCCCAGGGTGGGAGTGAGATGTAAGTGGGGGAAGGGTCCCGTTCACATCACATCCACAAAGAACTCACTGGGTGTCCCATAGCCGTGCAGAAGGACTGTCTGCTGGTGGTCATTTCAGGGGGCACGTAGGCTAGGTCTTGGCCCATAGGGGCTCCTGGAGGCTCCATGGCCACAGGTGGTGGCAGCATCATCAGCATGGGGGGACCACTGAAAGAAGGTATGCCATGGGAGGCTGCAGCTCGGGTGCATGTGGTGACTGCACAAGTTGGTCATGGAGTGGTGGCTGGCTGCAGTGGCTATGCTAGCTGGGCACCTGCTTCTGCGGCCCCACACGCTACTGTGGGTTGTGTCCTACTTGTTGCTGTTGCTGCCCAACTTCAAGTCCCCAGCCTTCAAGTCCTTCTCCTTCCACCTGCCACTGCCCCCACCAAAGCTGTACTCCAGTTCTGGGAAGCCCAGGCATAGGCTATAGGGGTGCAGGGGCAGCAGGTACTGGTAAAGGAAAGCCTTGAACCAAGGCATGGCCCTGCGTGTGGCACTGGTCAGAGGTGCCACAGAAGCCATTGTGATCATGGAGAGCCACGTTGGTTCTGTTGCCACGGGGGTCGCTAAAGATATAGGAGCACTGCCCAGAGAAGGTGACCTTGTTGACAGTGTGATGGATGAAGCTGCTTTCAGAAGGTTGCTGGCATACCTTCTGGCCTCTCCCTGGTCAGTGAAGCCTTCCACATTGTGGTACAGCAAGTCCACCACATCCAAGCCAATGAAAGTAAGGGGGATGGTAATCTTGGGCCACATGCGGCCACCGACCCCTAGCCCAGATTCAGAGGCGGCCATGGCTTTGACAATGGCAGCCATGTCATTATGGCACTCTGTGTCATGAATGGGGCTGGTGAAAGAAGAGCCAGTGGAGGTGATAGAGCTTAGGGGCTCATTCCACAGGCAGGAGGGTGCTGGTCAAAGCTACAGCATCAGTGACCCAGGCTGCAGGGTCAGTGGGCCCAATGGCCTCACTCCTGAGTAGTATGAAGCAGTCACATGGGCTTGGGTCCCAGCCCCTTGGCTATAGTCAGGGTGATGGCCCCAGTCTGTGCACAGTGCCACAGAACCCATACCATGTTGTCATTACTCATATTCTTAAAGCTCTTCTAGTTTGCCTGTAATAGCGTATCTCCTAGGTCTATACCTCCATCAGCAGCCATGCCTCAGCCTTCATGACAGAGCTGATACAGACACCTCTATTGCCACTCTTGTTGCCTTGGGCCCACAAAGGAGATGCCTAGAAAGTTGTACTCTTCCATGAGAATGACTGTGATGATGCTGAGTGACACAGTGGAGTCTGTGGTACTGCTGAAGGACCACGACCACTCGGGCCGTGAAGCCTCCTGCTTCTGCTGCCTCGTCTTCTCATGAGGTGGGAGGCACTGCCCTGCTCTACAGAGCTGCTAAACCTGTGAGCACAA